TTGTATAGTTGTATTCATATACTTGTAGCTTCTCCAGTTCTCTACCAAAAGGATGTTTTTAGAACAACGAGTGTACATCATTCGTGTATTACCTCTTTTTTATTGCTATATTCATTACATCTACCTCCCAAAGGAACGCTATCTACTTAATGTAATACTGAGAACTAATATTCTTGTATACTTTGTTCATTGCAGGGAGAGTAACACCTGAAAGTGATTTATAAGCTTGGGGCCGAGACTTTCGACTGTTATTAACTTCGAATTGGACTGTGGACAAATACTTCCTTAATCATGGATTCACAAGTTTAATTTAAGCTGCACCAATTTTTGATTCACAATTTTAAGAAATAACTTTCGATTCACAACTTTAAAAACTAACTTTTGATTCACATTTTAAAAAAACTTTCATACACGCATTTTAACAATTCATGATATTATATAATGCGAAAAACACGTTTAATCATGTATACAGACACTCTATTCAAATATCTAAAATTAAAAATAAATTAAGCATATATAAAACCTAGACGGTGGCAGTCTTCGGCAGATTTTAGGCGACCTTAATCAGAGAAGAAGCTTAAAGATCCTAGACGCCTCTACATACCTGGTCATCTTTATCACATTATTTCCAGAAAACGGTTCAGGTTTGTGCCTCCTTTATCATTTGGTAGAATAAAGAAAAGAAAATTATCTCCTGTCAAAGGAAGGACATTATTTACTTTTCATGGTACATGATTAGTATAGCAGAAGATAAGTGAAAAAATAATGAAAAGGGGAAAAAAGCCCCTCAGATGTTATTTTTCAGATAAGACAGTCGGCATTTGTTTGCTGTTTATTAAGATTAGCTTCTTTCATTACAGAACATGAACAAATTTATCAGTATGTCTAATAAATTGCACCATGCACCCTAGATTTAAGCAAAAGTATTCAGTGTCTGCCAATCACCATGCATAATTGCACCATGAATTCAAGTGACATCTTTCTATCAAATTGAAAATTCCCATATTTGAAACAACTGTTTCTACTGCAAACCATGGCAGGATACACATGATTGCAGAATACACATGAGCTTGTTCATTTAATGAAGAAATATAACTTTCAAAAAATGAACGACGTAAACCAGCAAAGTCATACCAGCAAACTCACTTCAATTGGTGTGGTTTTTTATGGTTTTCATTTCCCAAGTTAAGAAATCTCCTCAACTAATACAAATATTACGAAAATCTGAGCCTTGATTCAGATATATTTTAAAAAAATGAATACCTACAGGAAGAAAAGTTATGCGGAAATGCCATCCAGGACTACCTATTTTTTTTATGATAAGCTGAAGTTTTGGATTTAGTATTGAAGTCAAATATCACAGTTTCTTTAGCTATTATTAGAAACTTTTCAATATAAATTTGTAATTCAAAAACATTATAAAGAAACTTGTGATATTCACAAACTAATCATAGCATGCTCCTAAATATGAGAATTATTTGCAGCCAATGTCAGTGAAATGGATTAGATCACTAATCGGTTTCAAAAGATCCTAAAAGTCAATTTCTTAGGAAAAAGATGAAAGTTTTGGGGGCACAAAAAAACCTGGGAGAGCTCTACCAGCTTTGAAGGGGTTGCAGAGCCTCTATTACCAACAAGTTTAGATGGTTGTGATTCAATTGGAACTCCCTGCAATATAAGGCAAACAATTATGAAACAACTTTTTACTTAAAAGAGTATCACTACTAATATGCCATCTTAGGCATCGAGTAATGACCTTTTCTCTGACAAATTGCGGCAAAGCAATCGAAGCCAAATTGCAGACAACAACTTCAGTTGGGCTTGTGTACTCAATAATCTCAGTACACAAGTTAGAAGACTTGATAGTACCTAAATGTTGAATTCAGTACAAAGCCTTATTTTTCATTAAAGATGTAAGAACTAACTTGGAGGATCTATCTATCAGCTTAGAACTCACCGCAACCAATGAACTTCTCTTGAGTAGCAAAATAAACTTCATGACACCTGAGATTCCAGGCCATATTTTCGAAAGGAAAGAACTAGGTTGATACTAACAACATTGAATGATAATATCAACATTTTCATCCAATTTATAAACATACCACCAATTCTACCAATAAATTCATACAAACATTAATTTAAAAATTGATAAAACTCAATAAATTAAATGAAATGACAAAAGGTTAGAAACTAAACCTCTATTAAGCAAGTAAGCAAAGGAGGAGGAGGACGGCGACTGTACTGGGAGGGGCGGCAGCGTGAGGCGTGAGGCGTGCGGCGGAAGAAGCTGATGCGTTGTTGGGGGGCGGCTAGCTATTGGAGGAGACGATGACTTGCTGATGGACGGAAACGGCTGCAACGATGGTGGCTTACGGCTGGAACAAGGTAGATGGGTTGGACCTTGGAGGAGGGCGGCGAATCTGATGTGCGAGCTAATGGAGGTGCGCTGTATGTAAAGTAGGTTTACCCAGTTCAACGGTGATTAAATTAATCATTTTAAAACAATTTGCTACGGTTAAGCTCCGACCGAAGCAATAAAGTTAATTCTTTGTCTGAAATGTTGCGGTTAACAGATGACCGTAGCAAATAAACCGTTTTTTTTTTCTTTAGTTGCTGCGGTTAAGAGATGAGCGCAGCAAATACTTTAACTTTTCAACATATTGCTGCGGATTACTAAACAACCGCAGCAAATAAGGAGCACCAAATGATGAAAATTCTAGTAGTGGTGTAACACGCCATTCCCCCTTTATAGAACATGCAAAGCATCACATTTTGATTGCACCAGAAGGATGGCAGACTGCTCGCACGAGTCACCACCCTCCAATCTCCAATTCTTCAATTGTGGTGGGCTGTTCAGGGCAATGTACACGTCTTTAGAGTTTGGATGAAAGCAAACTAACAATACTCTTAGTTGAGCAACTATATGCAGTAAAACAAACAGTTCTGCAAATTATTGAATCAACAAATATCACATGCTTATTTATTCGAATTCTGGAAACCTCCATATCGAGCAATAATGCAATATGAATGTAAGTATCAATTACCTTCAAGGTCATTGGTGCATGACAACGGTTGGGAGGAGAGTCATAGAACTAACATGAAGTGTAACAGCCCACCCCATAGGGCCCAAGGTAATTACTCCTATATACTCTCCAGACCTCTAGTATTGTCCTCACACATTAACACAAGCCTTTACCATGCACTTTGTCCTCACTCGTGTGCGCCCTGAGAAATTTCCCGGGGGGTCCCCCATCTCACGACTACTAACATGCAAGCACGATTAACTTAGAGTTCTAAGCTGCTGAACTTCCTTAAAAGGAGATGTATCTTGTTTGTATGAGGAGTACTATTAATCCTTTTCAAATTATCTCAAGTATTACAATCACCCCCACTTGGGAATGCAACGTCCTCGTTGCGTCCATAAACCAATGTCAATCAAACCTCAAAATCATTCACTACTAAGTGCCCGTCTGATATCCAACGAACATCACGCTGTCGCAGGGTTGCTCTGACACCACCTCACACACTGCAGAACACCAACACTAACATTTAGAAAGATGAATCGTACTACTCATACAAACATGGTGCATCTTTTAAGAAAACTGATCAACTAAGAACTCAAGTTAAGTGTGATTGCACGTGAGTAGTCTTGGGATGTATGACCCCATAAGAAACTAAGGGCGCCCATGAGTGAGGACGGTAGTAGAAGTCTGAAGAGTATCTAGGAGTAACTATCATGGGCCCTACGAGGCGGGGTGTTACTTCATGTCAGTTCTATCCTTCTCGGCGTTGTCGTACACTATTGACCTTGAAGGTAATTGATGCTTTGATTCATATTGCATTATTTATTGATATGGAGGTTTCCAGAATCCAATTAAATAAGCCTGTTATATTTGTTGATTCAAGAATTTTGCAGAGTTGTTTGTTTTACTGTATCTTCATCTCTGGCACTTCAAACTCTAAGAGACATGTATGTTGCTGGCCTGAATAGCCCACCACAATTGAAGAACTGGAGGCTAGAGGGCGGTGGCCTATGCGAGGAACCGTGGATAGGAGTAGGATGCTTTGGATCTTTGGTGATTCAAATGTACCAATGTACCATACTTTATCATTATTAGGACAAATAGCTCATCTTTCGGTCACATACCTTCTTTCTTTCTAAATATAACAGTAAACTTCGAGATTTAAACCTCACATGCATTTCAGGATTCCAGATTTCCAATTCCAAAACTTGAAACACTAGTAAGTTAATAGAAACTATATCATAACATTACATAAAAAAGTAACACTTAAAATAACAAATCCTGTAATAAGATTTGTTAACTTTTTATGTTTATTCTCATTCAGGGATTTGAGCTTCAATCACCTTCAGGAGATCGGGAGGACACTTAGCAGGGGAGGGTTCTAAGGTTTGTTTGATATTGATTTATGGGCACAACGAGAATGTTGTGTTCTTAGGTAGTAGGGGTGATTGTGGCGCATTCATAAAGCAAAAGGTTTTTGCCGTACTCCGATCCGCCTAAATAGAAAGAGAAAACGGTATCTCATAATGTTATTGTGCACTGGTGTGTATGAGATGCAGCCTATTATTTGGTACTGATAGTAATTGACCCAACAAAAAAATCAAATCAAGCCACTGCACCCTACGTGAGACTAGACTTAAATAACTATGTATTAAATATGATGTCTTCTTGGGCTACATGATCTGGAAAGAATACACAACTCATGCTCCACCATCATCTTTTCCATAAATAATAGGAACTTCATGGCTCATAAATACCACTTACGGGGCCCTCGGGATTTCTCTTCCTGAACTTCTAAGGTCTTTTTTTACATCATGGGAAAAACCTTGCATAAATGAGTCCAAAAGCTTGGAAACAATCATAAACCAGTCGGGAACAAACAAGTACTCTAGTGTAAAAAAGTTTAAATACCACGATAAAAGTAAAAAAGATCAACCATTGATACCATTATCAGCTGAAACCTGAAAGGCTTCCTGACAAAATCTTTACGCATGAACCAAAAACATGGTTCAGTACTTCACAACCGAAAGGATGTCAAGTTGGGGACCAAGTTTCTCCTCAGCAGCCTTCTCAGCTTTGATCCTAAGCTTTGCCAATTGCTTCTTCCTCTCATATGCCGCTTTTGATATCTCCTTTCTCTTATCCTCGAGAACCTTGATGGTGTCATAGTGGTTCCAGCCAACCTCAGATGACAGCTTACCAAGAAAGCAGTGCTTGTGCCCAGTCTGGAGCCTCAATACCTTAAGGGAATCAGGTATAACCATTCGCTTCACCCTATCATAAGGTGTAGGAACACCCTCATACGCCTTCGTTTTATGTGGAATCATTCCTGTGATTGTGCGCCATACAATCTTCGAAGGTGCACAGAAGTGGATTGGGCCGTGGGATGGCTTCGTATTCATTCTCTTGAGGAGGAAGTGGTGGTACTTCATCTTCTGACGGACAAGACCACGAGAGAGGCAGATTTCTTCGCATCGGACCACCACCACTCGCACGCCATTGAGCAGCTCCTTCGCCAGAATGGAAGACAGCCGCCCCAACATGTGGTGTCTGGCGTCCACGACCACTCTACGGGCTCGAATTCCCGATCCTGACACAATTCTGCTGCTTTCTCCTCTTGCTAACCGCCGTCGAAGCTCTCGTTTATATGGTCTTTTCTTCTTCAAGCTTCTTCTCTCACTCTTCACTTGTGCTTCTAATAAGTATGTATAAACAGGAATATCATCATAATATACACACAACTATATATATGCACACTGAGAGTATTTGTCTTACAAAAATGTATACGAATATCATCATAACGGTTCTTGTATTAAGCATATAGTTAACTTAATTCACATGTAGTTATATATACAGACATATGCAAATATGCACATGTGCTTATGAATGTATTTATGTGTGCGCACACACACACATATATGCAAACACTCACGCACATCCACACATAAGTACACACCCACGCATATATATAAACAAATATCCTATAAATACACACACATAATGGTGGTACACACAAAGATATATACAGGTACACGAGCTTGCTTATGAGAGTGTGTATAGACACACACATACAATAATAAAAATAAACACACACTTATAACTACATAAGTACACATACAGATACAAAAAAATGACTATATACCCACAAATGTAAACAAGAACTTCTTAAGAATATTTATGTATAAACACACACATATAAATGTGTGTGCGTAAGGCTCATCTAGTCTTTGACTTGCAAAAAAATGCATGTGTCTATAAATGATTAATTTACTATACACCATCACACTGAGAACATATAAATATAAAAGTAACTACACATGCACCTGCATTAAATTGAAGCAATATGTTTATCCACATTTACACGTATGTGTAAGCACACAAAATGAAAAAGTATTCATTTAGCTGTTATTTTAAACACACACATATATCACTATTAGTTTCTGAGATAATATACTATAGTATGCATTTATATGTATATAGATCTTTCCTAAAGACAAATATCTAATGTATTGAAAAGGAAATAAACAGAAATGAACACACTATTTGGACTTGAATATGAACAAGCATGGCTATCTGCGCAAATCTATAAACCAAAACATTGATTAACAAAAATATCTGCTAGAGTGAACACCATGTGTGCCCCCTTTATATATCAACCAATATATCACTATGTTCTTCACTTTAGAAAAAGAACATGCAAATTCGATAAGAATTGTTAAGTGAATTCTTTGTAGAGATTTGTTATTACATGACCATTACAAAAGTTCACAGAAAGGGAGTATTTTCAAAAAATATAAAAGATTGTGAAAAGAATTCGATGAACAATAGTCCTTACAACAACATTTCAATTCTAGACATTAGATGAGTTAAACTGAGGCTAAATCTTCTCTTGCATGACAGAGGAGGGCATGATCATCAAGGTCACCCCTCAAGTGCACACAAACATGATATAACCACTAAACTTCCTACTTTTGTCCCACTGATTTTGGTGGTTGGTCATCCGAGTTAAAAAAAAAGACAGAGAAGGGCATGTACACACAAATACTCACTCTCACATCGTCACATATGTCTATGAAACGAAAATAACCACTTAACTTAGAGTTGAAAAGAGTAGTCACATTTTGTTCAGCTCCTAAAGTGTCATTTTTCAGAAGGCGTGAATAGTAAATTGAAATTTCAGTGAACCGGAATAGAGTGAAGTTATATATATGAAATTTGAAATGAAATTGAGATTGAAATAAATATAAAAATACAGATATGCTATATCAAGTTTACAAAAGTGAGTGTGAGGAGGTGAAAAATCAGATACTCCGTACATAATATTTGCTACAATCTACTTTAATCTAAATAAACATGCATCTGTGCAGAGAATGTATTTCTTACCATTGCTATATACACGAACAAGGATGCTCACGATTCGCGTCCTAGCTGGTGGCTCTTCGAGGGAAGCGAATGATTGTTTGAAGCGGATACTATTTAATCAGAAAATTGGCCGCCTACAAGCCTACAAGTAGGAATTCAATAATGAGAATAGAGTTCGATCCAATAGCTTACACAATAGAGATTATGAGAAAGTTTGATGAAGAAGAAGACCAATTTATTCCAGATAGTTCTTATTACACTCACAACAGATTATATCCATGAGCCAAAAGGCTACGTAACTATTAACAGATTACAACTAATCTGCTAACTAATTCGTGTAACTACTAAGCTGACTTGGCCTCCTTTATCTCTTATCCTTTGCTTCATAAGCAGCCAACTCAACTCATGATGCATATAAGAGAATTACTGAAGAACAAAAGTATGAAAGTGAAGGTTTGTAGGTGGTAGGGCTTAGGAGAGAAGTAAAAGTTGTCAAACAAGGAAGAGTCCACAAATCTATATTTTTGGCGTACCATTATTTGTTTATGTTTTTTTTAAATATTTATACACTTTAAATTTATAAGCTTTACATTTAATATTTATGGATTTGCTTTCAAATGTTATTACTAATGGTGAAGATAATGTGTAAAGCTTGATTATATTTACATTATTCCGCGTAATATAGATGTTCATGAGTATGTTGAGTCTTGGACATTTTCTCATATACATTAGGAGTCTTCCACTCCCTTTCTTGAGAATACACGAGATGAGAGGGAGTAGATTCTCTTTTGACATTTACATGTATTATATTTTTTAGTAGATTCTCTTTTGACACTTTGTCCTCACTCATGCGCGCCCTGAGAAACTTCCCAGGGGGTCACCCATCCCAAGACTACTCCCGTGCAAGCACGCTTAACTTTGGAGATCTTAGCGGATGAGCTCCCGTAAAAGGAGATGCACCTCTGTTGGTATGAGTAGTACTATTAATCCTCTTAAATTAATCTCGGGTATTACAATCACCCCCACTTAGGATCGCAACGTCCTCGTTCCGCCCTTAAACCAATCTCAATCACACCCCAGAATCTCTTCCCCTGCTAAGTGCCCGCCCGATATCCAACGGATCAGCACACTGTCGCAGGGTTGCTCTGATACCACCACCTGTAACACCCCAGCCCCGCAGGACTCGAGGTAGTTACTCTAGACGTCTAGTACTGTCCTCACAAACCACCACGAGCCTTTACCGCACACTTTGTCCTCACTCATGCGCGCCCTGAGAAACTTCCCAGGGGGTCACCCATCCCAAGACTACTCCCGTGCAAGCACGCTTAACTTTGGAGTTCTTGGTTGATGAGCTCCCTTAAAAGGAGATGCACCTCTGTTGTTATGAGTAGTACTATTAATCCTCTTAAATTAATCTCGGGTATTACAATCACCTCAACTTAGGATCGCAATGTCCTCGTTGCGCCCTTAAACCAATCTCAATCAAACCCCAGAATCTTTTCCCCTGCTAGCCTGCTAGGTGTCTGCCCGATATCCAACGGATCAGCACACTGTCGCAGGGTTGCTCTGATACCACCTGTAACACCCCGGCCCCGCGGGACCCGAGGTAGTTACTCTAGACGTCTAGTACTGTCCTCACAAACCACCACGAGCCTTTACCGCGCACTTTGTCCTCACTCATGCGCGCCCTGAGAAACTTCCCAGGGGGTCACCCATCCCAAGACTACTCCCGTGCACGCACGCTTAACTTTGGAGTTCTTGGGTGATGAGCTTCCTTAAAAGGAGATGCACCTCTGTTGTTATGAGTAGTACTATTAATCCTCTTAAATTAATCTCGGGTATTACAATAGATATGTTGCTTAAGTTGAGGTGAACCATACCCCCCAATTCGGTGTGAGGATATGATCTCTTTGGAAATACCTTACAAAGACAACCCAATATGAGAATTGTTGGTCGATAGTCATTGGCCTAAGACCATCACAAACAGGGTCAGATTCACGGGCATTTTAATAATTCTTGATATTGTTGGCTACATGTGGAGTCGAGGGGCTTTGACCTTTGATGAATGCATAGTTGTAAGCGGTGTGCTGGGTAGGCTAGCAATCGGCATTAGTAGCGATCAACGAGGAGGATGCTCTTTGTGCCAAAGGTATAACAACAAACTGGTCGTGGAGCCACTTGAGAGGAGGGTCGAGGGTTCTTATAGGGGGCATAATAGGGCCCAATACCCCATTTGTGGTTGTGTGAGGGTCGAGGGGCCTTGTGTTTGTCTTAAAATGGTGTGTGTGCTAGATGTCACGTGGTGAGTGGGTGGAAGTTCGACAGATGATCAATTGGATCGAGGGCGTCCAAATGAGCAACACATGTTCCGACCATTGAGAAGTAATCAATACTTCTCCTAAAATGCCCATTAGCTGCCAACCTCTACTTGTGTTTTGCGCTTTCATGAGTTTGAGACGAGGTGCTACCCAGTTCTATAGACGGGAGGAGTTTGTTTTTCATCACGCATTCAAAGGTCAATTCTTCTCTAAACCCATCACTTCCTACATATTTGGCTTAGGTCTTCTAGAAGTAGCCGTTAGTAGCCATTAAAATGTCGTCGGCTTCTGATTCCCATAGCATCTTGGGGGTGCCTTTTGCATTACTTGAGGTTGAGTTCGAGGAGTGGCTCAAATATGACAAGGAATATGAGGTGGAGCAGTCAAAAGCGGTACAGAGGAAGCCTTAGGACTTCGTTGTTGACTCACTGAGGGCAACACGAGGATTCCACCTCTGGTCAAATTTCGTGCGTCCTCTGAGTTTTTTCATCTATGGGAAGGATGTGAAGCCGAAGAAGAAGATGAGGGGAGACTCGTGACCGAGGGTGATCCGAGGGTTCTCATTGGTTGATTGTTCCAACCCACTGATCATCCCGACTTGACAACACAAGTTGTGACCTCGATGTTGCG